GTGATCTCGTCTCACTCAATGTGGATGCTTGATTCCGAGGAGGCACCCCTTTCTGCCTTATGGATTGAGGTGTTCCCTGTCACTTGTTACTTTGATAGCCAGATCTTTTTTCCTGTGTGCATGGTAAAATGGTTTTCTGGATGGGACATGCTCCAGCTGGGGCAGCCCTGGAAGCGCAAGGCTAGGTCACTTTCCCTTTACCCATGTATGGCTGCTGGGGTGGGTCAGTCCATCTAAGCCCTTGTTTTCTGGTTCTAGGGAACTGGAAATAGCCAGGTGCCTCAGAGTAAATACGCAGAACTGCTGGCCATCATTGAAGAGTTGGGGAAAGAGATCAGACCCACTTATGCAGGGAGCAAGAGCGCCATGGAAAGACTAAAACGAGGTAAGCTAGGGACATGGTTAGGGGTCTCAAGGTTGCCTATCACTGTTGAAGGACTTTGTGAAGTTGAGTATGCTGGTGGGGTACCTGTACTCCCAGCTGCTTGGGAGGCTGAGGCAAGAAGATGACTTGAGCCCAGGAAGTAGAGACTAAGAGGTTTTCCTAGAGGAAGCAGTAGAGGTGTCCAGGGAAGGTCCCTTGACCCATGGGTTAATGCTGCAGCTGTGTGTGCTGTTGTAGCTGCTGGGGCAACTATAGATGTGGCAGTTGGGTTTGGAGTGGGGGGCTTATGGGGTTTCTAAGAAGGGCAGCCTGGCAGTGGCCATTCCTCAATCCTGTACCTTACCAGAGAGGCTCCTGAAGCTGTCTCCCCATCTGTGCTCCTGTGGGGTCACACTGTAAGCCCCTTGGCAGTTGTGGCTACAGAGGCTATATCGTCTGATCTGGGTAGGAGCAGCTTGAGAGTTCCTTTTTTGTATTTGTTTTTGTTTCTTCAAGACAGGATTTCTCTGTGTAGTTGTGGCTGTCCTGAGTACTCACTCTGTAGACCAAGCTGGCCTCGTACTCACTGAGATCTACCTGCCTCTGCCTCCTGAGTGCTGGGATTAAAGGCATGTGCCACCACTGCCTGACTGGATTTTTTTTTTTTTCTTTTTAAAATTGTGGTAAAATATATGTAACATACAATTTAACATTTAAACAATTGAAGTTCGTTCATATTATTGTATAGCCATCACAGTTTGTATCCAGAATTTTTTCTTGTCTTAAAAATTTGAAACTGTGGTGGGCGTTGGTGGCGCATGCCTTTAATCCCGCACTCAGGAGGCAGAGGCAGGCAGATCTCTGGGAGTTCGAGGCCAGCCTGGTGTATAGAGCAAGTTCCAGGACAGCCTCCAAAGCCACAGAGAAACCTTGTCTTGGGGAAAAGAGAATTGAAACTGTGCTCATTACTCATTAAGTCATACTGCCCACATCACCCTTGAGATTCTTCAGTGATTAAAAAGAGAGGGTGATGTCACAGAAAGCAAGGGACTCAGGTGTGAGGTGTGAAGGATGCTGACCAGCGTGCTACCTCATGACAAAGCTGCTGAGGAGAGAGGAGTTCTATTTTAGAAGTTACCAGAGGAGCCAGGACTGCAGGTTCATTCATGACCAGGAGGGACTAGGCTGATAAAAGAAAACATTACAGATGAATGTGAGAGGGATGGAGCTGACCTGCACCTGAGACGGCCCCTGATCTGTGGCAGGAGGCCGCACTGAAATCACACTTCTCAGCCATAGCCAGGCCAGCTCTGGGACAGGCTGTAGCTGAAAGCCAGACTTGGCCTGAGTTCTGTAAGGAGGTGACTTGACTGAAGCTAGACTGGGCACAAATGGAGACAGGACTGGAGATGGCCACTGGCAGAAGGAAGTGAGGTAATTCTGGGAACTGGAGAGCTGGCTCCATGTAGAGATTCCTGGGGAGTTGTTAATTTACATTCACCCCCAAAGCCAGTGAACTGAATTATATATGGATGTACCTAAGTGGCCATTGCCACAGTACATCCTGAGGGAGCTACTGGCCCTACAAGAATAAGGAAGACTTCCTGTCACCCTAGCCAACTGCTGAACTCATTCAAGCATGTGTGAAAAGATTTGAAGCTGTCCTCAAACTCAACAGTCTTGATTCTTGAGAGTACTAGGATTGCAGTGTGAGCAACCATCCTGGGCATAGCATTGTGTTTATTTATTAAAGAGGGGGAAAACTGTATGTTGCTGACCTTTGAACTCCTAGGTTCAGATCTTCTCCCATCACAGCCTCCTGAGCAGCCTGTCCTGTCCAGGTGTTTGGATGTAGACCCTCTATTCCCCTCCAAAACGAGGACTGTGACTGGGTGTTTTTGTTTTTGTTTGTTTCTTTTTTTTTTTTTTTCTTTGTTTTTGTTTTGTTTTTCGAGACGGGGTTTCTCTGTGTAGCTTTGGAGCCTATCCTGGCACTGGCTCTGGAGATCAGGCTGGCCTCAAACTCACAGAGATCTGCCTACCTCTGCCTCCTGAGTGCTGGGATTAAAGGTGTGCGCCACCAATGCCCGGTGTGTTTTTGTTTTTTTTGAGACAGGGTTTCTTTGTGGCTTAGGAGGATGTCCTGGAACTAACCCTTGTAGACCACCAGGCTGGTCTGGAACTCAAAGAGATCTGCCTGCCTCTGCCTCCCGAGTGCTGGGATTAAAGGCGTGTGCCACCAATGCCCAGCATGTGACTGGGGTTTAACCAGTGGGTTTTCTTCCTGCTCAGTGAATGGACTGATGTCCGTCTCTGTTTCTCTTGCAGGCATCATTCATGCCCGAAGCCTGGTTCGGGAGTGCTTGGCTGAAACGGAACGTAATGCCAGGTCCTAGCCCCTGGCCAGTCTGAAGGCCCATCTCGATACCCTGTGGAGATGAGAGGCTTTGTTCAAAATGGCAGTAGTTTTCCTGCCATGGTCATTAAGCTCTGAACCTACATTCAAAAGATTGGGAAGACATTTTGCAGTTATTGATGATGTGCATTTTAAGTAGTTAGGAACGATCCAGCTCTTTTTTTCTTTCCAAGCATTGATCTGAAAGATGTTTGTGAAGCCACTTCACAGCAAGCTATTGTTTGCCCCCAGATACCAGTGTCCCCTTTAATCTCCTTTTGGATATATTTGCTATTTGCATCACCCCAGTTGACTTCCTTTCCATGAGCTCACCTGCCTCTGAGGACTTGAGTGCAAACCACAGCACGTTTGCTTAGTAGCTGGCCCGCCTGTGTACAGTGTAGACCCTGCTTCACGGAGCTTCTCTGCTTAAGTGTTTGCATGATTGAGTGCTTTGAAGTCAATCTTAAAAATGCACAAGTTATAAATACAGAAGAAAGAACAATCTCCCCAACCTACCAAGCGCCCTGCAAATGTCCATCCTGAGACTGTAGATCTCAGTTCCGTGTTTACTGTGAGACGATCACAACATCTGGAAGAAAACAACTGAAACCGTTGCATCTTTGTATTTATTACTTGATGTAATAAAGCTTATTTTCATTAACAGTTTGTATTAAGATATAGGAGCCTTGAGGTCTTAAGTTTGTCTTTGAGGAGGACAGTCTTGTTAATTATAGTGACACTGGCTTCGAATTCACAATCTTTGCCTTGGTTTCCCCAGTGGTGTTAGGGTCACTGTTGAAGCTCATGAGGGAGGGCTTGGAGATATCTGCTAAGGGCATTTCCTATACCACTAGCATAGCTGGCTGTGAATTGTGTGCTTAAACCTCAAGGATAACAGAGACCCACATTGTGGAATTTGAAGTGTGTACCGCGATGACAGCAGGTAGGTAGGTGCTCCAAGGATCTCCTTTTGCAGGACACTGTGGCTCACTCCTTGTAGTCCTAGAACTTGGGAGACAGAGGCAGGAGGATCACATACTTTGTGCCAACCAGGGCTACATAGTGAGGCAGTGATTAAAAGAAGAGTATTTTTCACAATGTGACATACTCTGGTGCATGGAAAGCAAGTCGTGCTTGGATGTACTGAGATATTTACCAGGGCTTGGGAGTTTTTGCTGTGTGAAAACTGACCCTGTACCAGGCTTTGCTCTGAGCTGGATGAAGACAAGTATCAGATGTTCAGTCAGTGTTGCAGGTGAGCCCAGTCATAAGGAGTTCAAAGGCTGTCTGAGGGTGCCATGTGCTTCACTGCATCTCCATGACAGAGCACCAGTGTGTAAAAGGAGACAAATGGAAGCTGCTTTTCCTGCCTTCTGTTATAAATTTGCCTTCCTGTGAGTTTCTTTTGACCCTTTTCATAACTCCCTGTTGAAGGGAGCCTAGAGATTCCCGCTTGGAGTGTTCCACGCATCAGCTTCCAGATGTATGTAATACAGAGTATGTCCAGCCTTGAACAGCTTGATGAACTGTGCACACCCCCCCAGGCCCCCTACCCCCCACCACAGGAGAAGCAGGTAACAGTGAGCCTCATCTCTCAGTATTTTTCCTATCTGGATAGAATTTTCCCTCCTTGAGATGGTCTCACTGTGTCTTGGAACTCACTATGTAGGCCAGGCTGGCCTCAAACTCACAGAGATGAGGCCTGCCTCTGCCTTCTAACAGCTGGGATTAAAGACGTGGACCACCTGTGGAATTCTAACAGGAAGAGCAAATGGAACAAATGAAAAACAACCTGTAGCCTTGTGTGGTGGTGCACCCCAGTAATCCTTGAAACTGGAGAGGCAGAGAGAGGAGGATGAGGAGTTTAAGACCACCCTTGGCTATGTGAGACTTTGACTTTGAAAAGACAGTCCACTGGGTGTTGATGAAAACATAAGTCAGGTTCTGGGACCTCATCTCTAAAACATCTATGTGGTCATGTTCAAGGAGTGACAAGCTTTCAACTCAACTGGCAAGTCCCATATATATTTCTGTTGCTGTGGTAAAATACCCTGGCAGAAAGCAACTTCTGGCTGTGCAGTGGCACTTGCCTTTAATCCCAGCACTTAGGAGGTAGAAGGATTTCTGAGTTCCAGGCCAACCTGGTCTACAAAGTGAGTTCCAGGACAGTCAGGGCTGTTACACAGAGAAACCCTGTCTTAAAAAACAAAACAACAAAAATGATAAAAAAAAAAAAAAAAAACTTATGAAAGGCATTTATTTAGCTTGCTCTTTCAAGTTTTACAGTTCATTTTAGGGAAGTCAAGGCAGGACCTTCAAGCATTGTCATGTCACATTCACAGTTGAGGGAATGAAAGCGGTGTTGCTCTTTCTTAGCTTGTATTGTTCTGGGTTTCTGCTTAGGGAATGATGCTGCCCACAATGGGGGTGGGGGGGGCTCCAACTTCAATTAACAATAAAGACAATTCCCACAGACATCCTTGTAATTTCTCACTAAGACACTTCCCTGTGTTCTAGGTTGTCTGTGTGAAGTTGAGTGTTAAAACTAGTAAGCACAGCAGATATCTTAGTAACATTTCACCGACATTTTCTCTTTACCAAAAACTCAAATAATATATTAAGGCAGCTCAGCAGTGGCCCTGGAGTTGACAGGATACTAGTAAATGCTAATGTTTGATTCAACTTGCCATAAAGGTGGGCTTAGCTAATAATGATACTTTTTCAAATTGTTTGTATCTTAACCTTCATTGCTTATTTCTGTGTGTGACAAGTGTGGGCATACATGTCACAGCATATGTCAGGAGGTCAGAGGACTACTTTGTGGAATCAGTTCTGATCCTCCACCCTTACGTGGATTCTTCTGGGACAAATGCTCTACCCAAGCATGAGCCTTCCCAAGTGCCAGGACTGCAGCATACACCACCATGCCTACTTCCAGGATGTGCCGAGTATTACCACATTATTCCCGGGAGCCCCCGGGCACACCATCAGCATTGCTCCTTTTCTCAGGGATGTTTTGACTTGCTTCCCATAGTTCTTTCAACAACTTCTTTTTTTCAAGTGTCTCCTTTGCTCTCTTCTTTCTTTCTCGTTTTCTCCTCTCACCCTCAAGCTTCTCTTTGTGGACAGGGCTGTTTTCACCATTGTAGAAAACATCCACTTTCTCCTGGAGGATTTTCCGAGCTATCTTTCTGTTTTGATCCACAGATCGTGTTTGGTGGCACTGCAAGAGATCATAGGCAGGAATGTGAAACCATGGGTGTGAGATAGGCAGGACCCCAGAAGCCCTACTCCCTCAGTCCACCCATCTTTCCCATCCCAGAGGGAAAGGCCAGGAGAGCAAAGGCAGGAACCCCTTTGAGTCAGCCATGTGGGTGCTGGGAATCAAACCTGGGTCTTCTGGAAGAGCAGCCAGTGCTCTTAACCACTGGACAGTCTTTCCAGCCCCACAACAGCTTTCAACTAATTTAAGCAGTTTCCAAGAAATTCTAGAAGCACTGACTGGCCAGGGAGCAACCCTGCAAAATTTATATGCCGTTCACAAGTGTAGATCCATCTAGAGGACAAGGGTGCATCTTTATTAATAGCTTACCACAACATTCAGTATGGGAAACTGATGGCAGCCAGGGCCTAGTGAAGTTGGTGGGCAGAGGAAATACTGTGGCTTGAGGGAGAGATTTCCAAAACAAGTTCAACAACAAATAATGCTTTTGGAATTTTGTTATAAGTGAGGTTCTCAAGGAGGAAAAGAAAGAAACTGAGGGTTTTAAGTTATGTCTTCTTGGCTCAAGAAACTGGCCTGGCCATAAAGCTGCTACTGGACTTCCCTTTTGAAGGACTCTGGGCAAGTTCCTTGTCTGCTTCGGGCAGTAAGCACATGTTTCCAGGACTCAAAGAGTTAACATAACAGAGTGCCCCTAGTCGTGTGAAGTATCTGCTGTTAGGTTGGTTGTATCTGGGAAAATGTGTGCTCTGCCTTCTGGCTCCTTCAAGGCGATGTGTGCTGCTCTGGGGCCCTCTATTGATGTACACTTGGCTGGCAGCTCTACTGGTCTGGCTCTTATTTCAGAGGCAGTAGGTCTGCTAGCACTCCGAGCTAAAAATCACTTGGCCACTTCCTACATATGCCGTTTGTTGGGAGCTGGTGCAGACCTTGGCCAGAGACAGCCTTCTTTAAGGAAGACACTAGTAGCTGTGCCCTGCTTCCGCCCCACCTTGTTCTCTCCTAGGAAGGACATGTGTAAGAGACATATGACAAAGCAGGGCAGAGGGACCTGGAGGAGATATCCTACCAACTGAGGACTGAGCTAACCCAAAGCACAATCCATCAGTTCCATGCTGTTGGCCAGGGGTGGCTTTGGGAGCAGCAGGCTTCAGCAGATCTGCCTTATAGCATCCTTTCATGGTGACACACAGCCAAATTCAAGGACAGCAGCAAAGCCCCGGCTCCATAAGATTCTGGCACCAGGCTTCTGAGTCTGGGCAGGAGGGTCATTTCCAGAGGGACAGCTCAGGGCTTGGGTACACCTGCAGTACCCTGACTACTGGGTTTGCAGTGTGTCAGTGCATGCCTTTCAGTCAAACTTGATGTGGCTGCAGACCTGGACTCCTCTCATCTACCCGACCCTCCACTGTCTACCTTGACCACAATGCCGGAGGGCACATGTTTGAGCACTACACAGTTGTTGGTTTTGTTGGTGGCCTGGCCCCCTGGACCATGTCCTTTCACAAACTGTTCTTCAAGCTCACTCTCGTGCAGGGGAAGCAGAGCAGGATAGTCCTTCCTGCCTGCCACCTGTACCACAGCAGCAGCCATTCCTGGGAAGAGCAGTGCTGGCTTCTGAAGCCCAAATACCCAGTTCCCTGAGCATATCCTGATCAGTGGTGCAGGAAAACGGAGCAAAGCCCAGGTGCTCATCAAGGACACAGCTCGCTGTGGCAGAACCTGGGATGGAGAGAGAATGAGGCCATCTTTTTACTTTGCTCTCAAGATGACAGACTTCAAACAGCTTCTTATACAATCTCAGGGACAGTCCATGCCCAGGGCATGTAGGGGACAAGCAAAGACAGGTGACCGGGAAGGCACATCTCTCTGGACTGGAGTTGCCCAGAGTTCTGACCATGTTCTACCAGCTAATACATACTTCCTTTCTTCCTTTTTTAAGCCTACAACACGGGGTATTCCCATCCAAGTACTGACCAGGACTGATCCTGTTTAGCGTCTGAGATCAGTGTATTTAGGGTGGTATGGCCACTGCACATTTTCTTAAAACACACCAAAAATAACCTTCAGAGCACCCAGAGGTGCTATCCCCTTAAGAAAGAGGTATTGAGTGTGACATTAAAGGAGCAGGCACACTAAAGAGCATTCTGAGGAAGAATTAGAACCTGAGTCAGGGGACAATATTTAAATGTAAATCTATATTTGTGCAAGGATGACAGCATCAGTCTATTTTATAGCTGAGCTTAAAGTCTGACACAGTAAACTTCACTATCAATCAGTGCCCTGACTGTTGGTTTGTAATGCTGGCAGTTTCATGGATTTGAATGGGAACATCTGTTCCCTGGGATGCACTGCCAACAATACAATCCAACTGGTCTTTTTGTTTGTTTGTTTGTTTTTTGAGACAGGGTTTCTCTGTGTAGCTTTGGAGCCTATTCTGGCACTCGCTCTGGAGACCAGGCTGGCCTCAAACTCACAGAGATCCGCCTGCCTCTGCCTCCCGAGTGCTGGGATTAAAGGCATGCGCCACCAACACCCGACCCCAACTGGTCGTCTTGTTACAAAATCAAGCAGTTTTTACTAAGGAGCCTGTTAGGCTTAAACAGCACAAAGGATGTGTGAATGATGTCAAGATGAAAGAGCTGGGCCGGATGTTGGTGGCACACGCCTTTAATCCCAGCCCTGGGGAGGCAGAGGCAGGGAGAACTCTGGGAGG